GGATGGACAGAGATGATCTCCAGAGCAGGAGGGGATGGACAGAGATGCTCTCCAGAGCAGAAGCTGATGCCACTCACCAGCAACGTTCCATAGCTGTGGAGTTCACCCACCAAAATGCTCCCGTTCCGGAAGAAATGAGCAGAATAAAAGTGGGTGTAGAGGTGGTGCAGGCTGGGGTCCAGCCTTTCCACCAGCTGGGTTGCTATGTAGAATTCCCAAGGGTTGGCAGGTTTCTGGACCTGGAAGTAAGAAGCGGATTTACTGGGAAAATCTGTGAGCGTTGAAAGCAGAAGTTCCTCTCGGGTTGAGGTTTTTTAGTGGGAGATTTGGCATCTTCCCTTCCCAAATAAGTACATATGATGGAATCATGGAATCCTGGGATGGTTTGGGTTGGAAGGGACCTTAAAGATGATCCTATTCCAACCCCCCGCCATGGGCAGGGACACCTTCCACTATCCCAGGTTGCTCCAGGACACCTTCCACTATCCCGGGTTGCTCCAAGCCCTGTCCAACCTGGCCTTGGACACTTCTAGGAATGAGGTAGCCACAGCTTCTCTGGGAAAACTGTAACAGAGCTTCACCTCCCTCACAGAAATTAACCTCAGGTCAATAAACTCGATGATCAATCCTGTCCTATCAGGAATCCAATTCCATGCCACAATTCCATTCTGGTCACACGCTTTGGTGTATCCCTGATGCTCAAAAGAAAGTGTAAATCACCTTTTTATCCCAAAAAGATCTCACATGAGGTGTTAACACAAAGAAGGCTTTTTCCTGGAAGCCCAAATGCTGATGAGAAGATCCACAAAAATGTCCCAAGGACAGATGTGAAATGGAAAGGCCAAAGGGAGGTGTCACTCACTACTGTAAGACTCCAGAATTATTCCAGGAGAGCATTCCTGGCCCAATCCCACCGACCTTGAACACGACTTTCTGGTTGTTCCGAGGGTTATTGGCATCCAGGAGGGAAGCCTGATAGACTTGGGCAAAAGCTCCCTCTCCGACCAAGCAATCCACATGGAATGAGCTGGAACCTTAAAGAGATGAACAACATCAAATCCTGCTTGAAGACTCCAGGAAGAGAATCACTACTCAGGGAAAAAAAAGGAGAGCACCAGCCCACATGGATTATTTAAGCCCCGAGCTGTTTTCTTCCTTCCAACAAATCCCTTCCCTAGGAGAAAGCCTAGACTCAACTCCTGAAACCAGGAGTGCTGGGAGTGCCACATGCTAAAAAACCAGCATTTCTATTTTTGGTCTGACCCCCCCTGGAAGGGATCAAATTCCAAAGGCCGTGTCCTCAAGAGCAAACACCAATGTTTGAGTCCCACAGGGGTGTTGCAATCGCCGTCCCTACAGCTTTTGTTGACACGGGACCGCTGCTGCTCCATACAAGGCTCGGGGGTTGTGTCCCAGATTATAAGGAAAACCAGGAAAACGACCACTCAAGAGTCCTGCATCCAAAAAGGCTCATGCTACAAAAGGCAAACCAACCAACCCCTGGTCTAACCCCACAACTGAGGTGGGGATAACCTGGAAGGTATCTGGATATGTGCACAAGGAAGCTGAATTCCAAAACATTTCCCGAGAATTTTTCCTGGAAAAACACTGAGAAATGCTTGCAAATGCAATACCTGAAGGAGCTCTTACCCAGTGGGAGCTCAGCCTTCAGTGTGATCAATGGGAGGAGAGATTTCCACTCAAAGTAGTTGGTGTAGGTGTGGAGAGGCTTGGGAAGCTCCGACAAGAACTTGGCAATCAATGCCTTATCCCAAGGGTTCTCCACAAGGACTTCATGGAAAAAAAAAAAAAAAAGAGAAGTATTTAAGCAACAAACATCATTTCAAAGAGGTCACACAAGGTTACACTTGAATGAGCATCACTGATTCAAAGGAAATATTACAAAACATAAACCCCAAGAGGGATAAGTTAAATATCCCTCCATTTGGACATTCTAGGATTTACACCTGTTAAAGATGCCCAGAAAGCTGGATTTTCCCAAAGCGTTTGGGCCCTGATGAGTGCAGAACCTGTGAGTACTCCAAGTATTCCTGCACTTTGGAATATCTTTGGCATCATCCAAACACAGGTACAACCCACAGCTGTCCCTCCTCACATCCCTTGCAGGTGACCCCTGCTCCAATTTTGGAATATACAGCACAAAAAACCAGGGAATGCTCTGTGCCTGCAGCTCCCGCTCTCTGGGCTGTACCACCTCCACACAGCTTCTCCTGGGAAGTTCTCTCCAGCCCTGCACAGGAAGATTCAGCTCTGCTCGTGGTTCTCTGCCCCTGTTGTCGTTGAGAACCAGCTCCAACAATTCCCTGAATGCCATTCCCACGTTTCAAGATGTTTTCCTGGAGCTCCCTTTGCTCTGTGGCGTGGCTACAAGGATTGAAACCAAAATATCATTAACTGACCCTTCTGCCACAGGGGTTTGGTACCTTCAGGAAGCACAAAAAACATGTCAAACGCCCACACTCAGAACCTTGGCCAGCACTCAGATGAATAAAATGGAATTTTCTTAAAAAAATAATATTTGGTCAAGTCCCATTCCCTGATATCTAATAATTTTCAAGTTCATCAGCCAACAGGGAAGAAAGCAGTGGATTTTTGGACAGGTAATTTTTAATTGAAATGTGGCAAAAATTAAATCCTAGAAGCATTTTTTGGGGCCTTGTCACCCAACCCAGGTTCATTTATCCCCAGAGTGCTGAGAAATATCCTAAGCAGAGCCAGGCTCACACAAATACATCAGATTCCTTGGAAAACTTGCACTGGGAGCTGCAGAGCAGCCCAGCTCTGCTCTGGGTGTCCTGAAATCCCAGCCAGTCACGACATACCTTAATTTCTTGGTTTTTGTCTGTTTGTGCACTTCCCCAGAGAACTCCAAATCCATCTGTGGCAGGTCATCCCCACGGGCTGCACACAGGGAGCAGCAACAAGAGCAAATCAATGTTCATTTTCCCCAAACACAGGAACATTTAGAGAATTCCCACCCACAGCTCCCCACGAAAACTGGAACTCCACAAGCCTGATTTAAAATATGCGAGTAAAGATTAGGGCTGGATTTCTCCAGGGGGTGTATTCCAAGACCAAGGAGGGGCAGAGCAGCATAAAGGTGGTGCTGGGATTCAGCCACTGTTTTGACCTTCACAACCCCTTGGAATTGGTTGGACACACCCATTGTCTCATCCCTTAAATCTCTCATCCCTCCAATTAGAAATCCTTGGAGAGCTGATGTGCTGGGCCAGCTCCCAGCTGGTTTTCCCACAGGCAATGTGGGCTCAGGAATGGCAGCAGTGGGAGGATTTGGCCAAATCCTGTCCCCTGGGTAGGATGTGGCCAAAACTGGAATCACGAAGCACCAAATTCAAACACCCTCATCCCAAAATACTCCTCATTTTACCTCTGTCCCCCAAAGGTTGTAGGGAACGAGCTGCCAGGTAGCTGAAGGGCGTCGAGACGAGCTGGGCAGCTCGTGCAAAGTCTCTGGTGTTGTTTGGACTGGCAGCCAAGGTTTTGTTGCTGCACTGGATGTTCCACACTGTGTAATCATCCCTCAGGAATTCCGTGGTCCCCGTCTCTTCCTACACGGGAGAAAAGAGATAAAAGATCTAAAATTAAACCATCAAATTGTCTGCACTGTGACCTCCAGCAGCCTAATGGTGAGTCAACTTGTAATATTAGAAAAATAAAAGGATTATTAGGAAAATATAGGAATGGCAACGTAAGGTTGCATCCCAGGTTTCCATAGTTTTGGACCAGACCTGAATGTTGGCAATAATCAGCAGCAGAGCACAAAAAAAATTGCCATGAGAGCCTGGAAGAGCCAATCTCATGATACAGGGGTCACTTATATCCAAGCAGACTGAGGTTTTATGCATCTCCTTGGCTATGGAATCTGGGAGACTGGAAGGTGAAATGCCTCTTCCTGCCCCCCCAACTGATGCTGAATCCACAGAGGAACTGCAGCTGGATCCATCCCAGGGGAGGAGGTCTCCACTGTCAAGCTCCCAGAAGTGTTATGAGAATTAACAATCAAAAAAAAAAGGCTCATCCCATTGGCAGGGAACGGGAAAGGGCGTCCAGACTTCAGCCTGGCATCCTTCCCAAGAATATTGTGGGACTGGGAGAGGACAAAAGGTAAATCTGATAACCCCCATAACTCCATAATCCACTTCCAAAGCTAATCCCTGCAGGATCATCACTCACTTCTGCTGCACAGTCAGTCAAGTGTTGTTGTCCAAGACTTCTGGGCTCCTCTGGCTTGTTCTTGTGCTGTGGGATGCTGAAAAACAGGAATTTTAGAACTCCTCTCCCCAGGAGCTCTCCCAGGCACACTGATCAAAGCACACTTGTTTGGTTTTAACCTCAATTTTTTTATATTTCTTTTCTTAAGAGTCCCGTTTGCAGCCCCTTGGAGAAGCTGCAGCAGCTCAAAGAAACGAGTTATCCCCAAATTCCCCAGAAAATGAAGCTTCCCAAGCACTGTCCAAACAGGGAAGTTGGGCAATTCCAGGGTAGCAACTACAGCTTTTCTCGTGCCACTCTCCACACAGCTCCTACCAGCTGTATCCAAGCCAATCCCGACTGGAATCACAGCCATGGTAAAGTTCTATGGAATGGAATCAATCCCACATGGAATTTTCCATGAGCTCAGCTCAGCTATTCCTTTTTCCCTCCTTACCTGCTGTTTTCCTTCTCATTCTCATCCTGAAAGATGGAAAATGTAGGAGTGACAGGGACAGCAGCATTAGTTTTCAAACACCCATCAGGCTCTGAAAAATAAGAGATAACCAATGTTATCTTCACCCAACAAAGATTATTTAAACAGCTCCATTTCCCCCTCTATCCAGGTCCCTCCACCTGCAGAATTCCCACTCAAATCCCCTTTCCAATAAATGTTTGGAAATCAGATTTTTCCAGCCCAAAGCCAGTTGGGAAATCTCTCTGTGCTCACTCTTGTAAAACCTTGGGTTTCAGCCTGTCCTAACTCTCACAGTGAGGACTGATGGGAGGTGGAAATGGGAAATAAAAGATGGATTTGGGAAAATAAATAGCACACACCATTTTTCCTGAAAAAGGTTTCTAGTTCTTCATTGCTCTTGTCCAGGGGTGATAGCTCAGGCAATATGGGTGTTTGAAACACGTCCATGAGAAAGCCTAATAAGTGAAGAAAAATGGAAGGGAAAATGAAGGGAAAATAAAGAATAAATGAAGAAAAAAAAAAGTAAAGAAAAAAAAACCAAAAAACACAGGAATAACATTCCCAACAAAAGAAATTTTCAGAGCTTCTTTCATTGTGTTGCAGACAAATCAAATGCAAATTAATTATAAGAGTCTTAAAAGGTAATTAATTGTAATGGTCTTATCACTGATCAAATGCCAGTAACAATTATTCCTCCCAGATACATTTAACCCCCCCCCAGACAACTGAACAGACACAGGGAGGTCCAGTTTGGCCACCACACACCTTCCAAGGCCTCCCAAGGGGGCAAATTCTCCTTTAATTTCCCAGATTTTTTGAAAACTTGGATATTTGGAAAACTAAAGAACGCCACAAGTTTTGGGGGTTTATTTTTTGATTTCTTTTCAGGGAGATTTGTTCAGCTCAACATCAAGCAGAGCTGGCAACTTCCAAATTGCTCTGCTGCCTACAAAGAGGAGTCCCTGACAGCAGTGACAAGAGCAGCTCAGGGACTCCCAGGGAAGCCTGGCAGGGACTTCTCCAGGAATTTATGGGATGTGGCTGCTGGGATGCTGTCAAAGCACCCAAAGTTCTGGGTCATCCAAATCCCAACAGAAGGTTGATGGTTTAATATTTTCCTCGTTGACTGAACGGTGAACTTGCCCACCACTAAAGAACTTCCTTGGCTAGTGGAGCACTCAGATTTCCAGGCCAGATGCCGCTGACTCCAGAGGAAGCAGGATGTTATTCCAAAGATCTTACCCAAGGCTTCCTTCGTGTGCACCGTGGGTGATGGTTGCACTTTGAAGGGCGTCGCCTGCGTCCCTCCTGCCAGAGAGGTGTTCGGGGTGGCCTGGGAAGCATTTCCAGAGGCAAAGGAGGAATTTCCACCTCTGCAGGCTGAAAAAGGCAACAGGGAGATCAGATCATTCCTGAAGGAGCCTGGGATTGTTTACGGACATTCCAGCGGCAAGAGAAATGTTAGTGAGGAGAAGTAAACAAGGCGAGTAGAGGAATGACAGCGCGGGATTTTGGGAGGGATTTTTGGCTTGTTTAGAGACCTGCAGGGAAGATTCCCAAGGGAAACCGCCCTGAGGGACAAGAGGGACCTGGGACAGCTGGGTGGCCCCTGAGGAACCTGTCTGCAATTCACAGGAATGATCTATCCCAGCAAGGACAAACAGGGATCTCCTGACTGCCCTAGGAAAGGAACAGGGGCTGGATGCATGGAAGGAAGGGAGAGACCTTGCCCAGACACACAGGGATGGAGTCAGGGAAGACAAAAATCTTTGCTAGGGTTGGAACCAGTGTCCACATGCAATTATTGATCCCCAGCCAGGAACAGTCACACCAACAGCATCAGTGTCTGTCCAAACTGGGCTCCTCACCTTCCTTCACATCCACAGCAGGAGTCAATCCAGTGGATCTCTTAGGGTGCCTTCAGAGGAAAGAGTGACATTAGCTTGGAATGAAAACTGTTTAAATACCATTTTAATCCCTCTTTAAATGAAGTGAGAAGTCCTTTAGAATATTATTAAATATCAACCTCTGAAAGATCCTCCTACAGCTGCCAGTGAATATGAAACCTGGAAGGCAGCAGAGTCCTTTAGAAAGGCTAAAATGCATTCAACACTCTCCTCGGACACAGTTTGCCTCCAAGGAATTCTGTGATATGAGTGAATAACTGGTTCCAACTTGGCCAAGCCTACTCAGCCACCCTTTGCCAGCCTGGGTTTCTCCCTCTGCCCCCCAGTTTTGTGTCCTCTATTGGCCAAGTCCCATAGCAGAAGTGCAGGAGAAAAATACCAACAATTTTGTCCTCTGGAGACGTCGGGGTGGGATCTGCACGACCAAGGCATTCCTGGTGTTTATTCCAGGGACAGCCAGGCGGTTACACACCGAATTCTCTCTCATCATAATTAAACCACAGCGGGCTAAAGGAATTAAACACTGCAGTGAGGACTAAGTTTGCTCCATGCCTAACAAACACCAGTTTCCACAGGCAACTTCAGGTGGGTGGGTTTGTTTTTTTCTTTTCAGAAGGGGTAGAAAAACTCCTTTTTGGTTCATTCCCAGCCGGTGTAGGCGCTGAGGACACGAATTGAAGGAGCCTGTTCATACTCACTGCTGCAGAGCTGAGTTGGGATGTGCCCGTTCCTCAGCTGAGGCACCACTGAAGGGAGGGTGTACCAGACTCTTCTGGAGCTCCCCAAGCTCTGGTTGAACTCTGTCTCTGTCCTTCTTCTCCCTTCCTTCCCACAGGGAGGCCGATGTGAGCCGGCGGCCGAGGGGCTTTGCTGGCGGCAGGGTGGGAGCAGGGGCTGGGCCAACACTGGGCTGGGGCTGCTCTGGCACCTTGGGCACACCTGAGGTTGGAGCAGGTGCCACGCAGTTCCCTGGGAGGGCTGTGCTGGGCCTGGCACACAGGGGTACCTTTAGGGGTGAGAAATGATGCTCAAGCATCCCACGAAGTCCAGCCGAGAAACATCCCTCGACACCCAAACACCCCCCCAGGTACAGCCACTGCCATTTTCCCTTTAGTTTTGCACGACTAGAACAGCTTTTCACACTTTGGAGAACTAGATTCTAGAGATGCAAACCCAAACTTTGGGGTGTAACCACTAAAATCTGAGTATTCCAAGTTGCTCCAGGTGCCTGTATCAGTATTGCAGCCAGAACTTCCAGATTTGGTTAACAATCCACTCTGGTTCCTCAAGCACGGTTAAATTTTGTGGGACAAATCCCCTGCCCATCCCAGGACACACTCACCACCCTCTGGATTGGTTCAGCTCCTGGTTTCAGCCTGGTTTCCTTCAGGTTTTTGCTGAGCTGGGTGAGCTCTTCCAGCCTCTTCTGCAGGGCCTGGAGTTCCAGCACAGCCGACTCCTTTTTCCTCATGGTCTCTCTCTCCTCTTCCTCTAAGGATTAAACAACGAGATTCAATGAAACAATTCATCCTGAGTTTCTCAATGTGGTCATTACAAGCTGCTTGTATTTATAACACAGATATATTTGGTCTGCACCACAACATTTAGCACTAATTGCTCACTGTCCCTCGGGAGAAACACCACCAGGACAACCAGGGCTGGAAAAGCCAAACCCAGGGGATGAGCTGAGCCGGGAAGAAGTTGTTTGGAGAGGTGGAAAAAAGAGGGATACCAAGTTGTTTCTGCCTCCTGAGGCGCTCGTATCTCCTGAAGTATCTCTGGGCCCTCAGCTCCTCGAAGGAGAGCTCGGAGCCCTCGCACAGCAGCAGGTCCTTGGCGTACATCGGGACCTGCTTGCGCTCAGCAGCCCCAGGAGAAGGTGGCTTGGGAAGCACCTCGGATCTGGAGATGTAGGTGATGTACCTCCTGGCAGGAAAAAAGCAGGAAAGGGTCAGGTTTGCTGGATTTTATCCTCGGAGCGAGTTCGCTCTCATGCGGCGTGGCTTTTAAGAAAAACCCCACCCAGACACTTACACTTCTTCTTTTCCAGCAGGGCAGGGCTGAGAACCAGCAGCATCAGGACCCTAAAGCAGAGCAAGGGGGAATAAAACATCAAACTAAAAAAGGAAATAAAATCCAAGCAGAAAACTGGCATAGAATCCATTGATAATATTATTCCTTCCAAGAATAATGACACATTCCCATGGAGATGTGGTGCAGCAGGAAAACATCAGGAGCAGCTGTAAGACACACCACACTCCTGTATTTTATCTTTCTTTTTCAGTGAAGCTCGTCAATCCAAACTTTTTATGGAGCATCTTTCCCCCAGTGCCCAAATTCTTCGTGATTTACCTGATTTTTGCAGGGATTAACATCTGAACCCTCTTTTTGAGGATCCATTTGATTCACATTATTGGAAGTCTGAAGTGGTTTTACAACAGCAGCACCTAGGACAGAAAAACATAATATAAATATTTCTACTCACTACATGAGCAGAAATCATTTGCTCACTGATGCATTTTTATTGAATTGAAGCATTGGAAAATTAGTAACTTGTTTTGAATACAGTCTCCTCAAGAATTTTTAATATGGTCAGGAAAACAGGGGAAAAATGAAGCAGAAAACTTGTTTTCTTCAATGGCAAAACTGACTGAGCTAAAGATTCATTTAGTGGAGTTACAACTCAGACAGGTGTTTTCAGCCTCACCTCGCAAAGGATGATTCCCAGGATCAGAACTCTGCAACCAGCTAAATTGCAAAAAAAAATGCCAGTTATTACCATGAAATCCTCTGCCTCCCTCTCCTCCCACCTCCCAAAAACCTTGGATTTCCTGGTGCCATCGTGCCCTGAAATGTAACAGTGACAACCAGGATTTTTATTGTATATGGACATCTCCTGTTCCCTCCACAGCTACAAAACTAAAAAGGGCTGCAAAGGGCAGCAGGAGGAGAAAGTGGGGTGTTTCCTTTAAATTTTACGTTACATTTTACATGGTTTCTTGCATTTAGCTCCTCCCAGTTAAATGCTGAAAACTCCAAGACTCTGAGCTCAGGGATTTGCTTTCTGGGCCTTATTTCACTGAAGACACTCTGGGGCAGTTTTTCTCCATATACCTTCCAAAACACCCAATAAATATTGAACAGCAGAGAAGCATTTAATTAATATTTAGTAAAAACAACCATCGATCTGCCCCTGCTACAGCAGAGAAAATAACGAGCTGCGCGCCACATCTGGTTAATTAGGAGTAATAATGAGCATTATGGGTGAGGAAAAGAGGTCCCAGAGTTACCAGTGGAGCTGCTGCAGCTTCTCCCCGGGCTCTGCCTGGTTGTGGAGCCCTTTCTGAAGCACAGCTCCTGCCCCCTGCACGTTGCCTTCGCTCACCAGCTGCTGAGCCCAAGCCACGTAGAAATCCGAGGACTTTGCTCCGATTCCCTGCCCGTGCAGGTACTCAAAATACTGGCCAGGGGGAGAGATGAACTCTGCCTGCACAGGAGAAGGTGCACAAGCCGTAAGAACTTCCAAAAAAAAAAAAAATACAAGGCAAAAAAAAAAAAGAAAAAGCAACAATTTCTTAGTTTTCGTGGTAGGGAGGTGTAACGTTTTAAGGATAAAAGCAGCTAAAATTCCTCTCTCAGGATACAATGAGGCAGCTTAAAAACACACTGGCCCTTCAGCAAGACTCAGGTTCTGCAGGGAATTTCAATTCCATGCCCTTCCCCAAGCCCTCCCTCTCCTCTCACACCCCTTTGCAGCCCCGGAACCGCCCCATTAATACTTTAGGACAGTTTAATTCCCCAAAAAACAGAGCTTTACCCACCAGCTTGATGCAGTACTTGATGAACCGCGGGTCCTGCTGGTACCTCGTGTCGTCCAGGAACGTCTTCACCAGCTCCTCCAGGAGCCTGGGCCACAGGGATTGCTTTTCCTGGAGCGGGAGACATCCCTCTGCCCACTGAGCGTACCTGGAAACGTCCCGGGGTCAGCACCGAGCCAGGGAACTGCCCGAGAGAGGGATGGGGCAGCTCCGGAGTCAGGGATGGGGGCAATTCCTGAACCAGGGCAACTCCTGAGTCAGGGATGGGGGAATACCTGGACCGGGGCAATTCCTGAGCCAGGACAATTCCTGAGCCAGGGTGGGGGCAATACCTGGACAGGGGCAATTCCTGAGCCAGGACAATTCCTGAGCCAGGGCGGGGGCAATTCCTGAGCCAGGACAATTCCTGAGCCAGGGCAACTCCTGAGTCAGGGATGGGGCAATTCCTGGGCCAGGGCAATTCGTGAGCCAGGGCAGGGGCAATACCTGGACTGGGGCAATTCCTGAGCCAGGACAATTCCTGAGCCAGGGTAACTCCTGAGTCAGGGATGGGGCAATTCCTGGGCCAGGGCAATTCGTGAGCCAGGAATGGGGCAACACCAGGGCAGGACCCGCGCTCACCTGTCCCAGGGCTCCAGCGGGTCTGGACCTTGGTAATTCCGGATCTGAGCCTCGTAGCTCCTGCAGGGAAAAGGGCAGGTCGGGTTGGGATCGTGGAGGGGCGGGAAGAGCCCGAGGGGGGACCGAGCCCCGTGAACCCCCGGCCCAGCTCCGTGGGCCGCGGCACCCTCCCAGTCTCTTTATCCCGATCCCAATCCCATTAATCCCGGTATCCCTCTCACCGCCCGTTCGCAGCCATCTCGCTCCAACCGCTCCCGCGATTCAAACTGACCGCGCAAACGCGCGGCGCCTGCCCATTGGCTGCCCTGATCCGCGCACCGCTCTCCCATTGGTCATGGCCCGGCTCGCCCCGCCCCCCATCGGCAGTGCCACGGTCCCATTGGCTGGATCGCCTGTCAATCTCGCCGGGTCTCCAGGGGACCCGAAACGTGAAATAAAATGAAAAATACAATAAAATGAATTAAATGGAAAATGAAAAAAAAAAAAAAAAAAAAAAAAAAAAAAAAATCGTAAAATAAAATTAAAGGGAACAACGAAACAAAAAATTAAAAAGAAAGGAAAATTAAGTAAAAATCAAATATAAAAATAAAAATAAAAAAATTAAAAATTAAAAACTTAACTGTCTCGCGTCCTGCAGCCTCCGCCGGGGGATGTCCCTGCAGCAGGGAGGAGACATCTCCTGGCACCGGCTGGAGCGCAGGAACCCCACTGACTCTCATCTGGAGCACTCATTAACAGTTATTAATAATAGTTATGAATAATAGTTTTTAGTAATAATACGACATCATTATTATAATATTATCAAATAATAATTATTTAATACCAATGCAACATATATTAATGCAATACATAGTAAAATAATATTTAATAATAGTTATTAATACTAGCTATTAATGAGGTATGGTGCGAATTATGAATTAGTTGGGCGACTTGGGGAGGGGGGTATTTTTTAGCCGCCAGCCCCTAAGCAATCCCGACCTCCAGCACCAAAAAGAAGTGCAACAAAATAAAATTAAAAAAAAAAAGAAAAAAGGAAAAAACCCATAAAGCGAAATTTAAAGAAAAAAATAAAATAAACCGGTGAGTCCTCCAAGACCATCGAGACTAAACCGGAACCACAGAGTCCGAACCCGGAAGTGGTGGCTCATCCCCCCCAAGATGGCGGTGTCCTGCCTTCAGATTCGTGGCTGCTGCTGGTGCGACAGAGAATCGCCCTGGGAGCTGCTCTGTGACCCAGAACTCTGCAGATTTCCACAGGTAAGAGCGGGACTGGTGCTTCCAGTGAGGAACTGGGGGGTGCTGACCAGGGAGGGGGAGGCACGAAGCTTCTCCTGCCCTGATTGTCCGCAAGCGTTCGCGGATCCCACGCGAGGAGCCAGATCCTGACGGAGAGCTGGTCTGAAGAGCACGGTCTGCAGGGCGCAGCAGCCCAAAGCCGCGCTCAGGGCCATGTCCCTGCAGCTCAGGGAACCCCTGCTTGCCGCACCTTGAAGTCCTGTGCGCTCAGCACCTCTTCCTGCGGGTTTTTACGCAGATTTTGGGATCTGTGACTTGTCCCAGCCAGGGAGCTTTTTTGTGACCTAAATGTAGCTTTTTAAACCTCAGCCCCGCAGGGTTTGCAGTGTTTTACAAGAACAGAGTGAGCCAGGATGGATCCTCCTGCTCAGCTGGGCCAGCACTGTCTGTTGTGAGTTCTCCTCTGTCAGAGGAGGAAAAGCCACTTTGCTGTCCCTTGTAGGGCTGAGTGAGGCTGTGGATGTCAGTGCAGAGCATCTGCAGGCTCCTGGTGCTTGGTGTGCAGGAAACACCCCAGTGTGTCTGACCCGGGGGTGGATGTGCATTCCAGGAGCAACTCGGGTTGGGAAAGGCCAAGCATGGGGTGGGAAGGGCTTTTTCCCGGGCCTGGACACTCTCAAGACTTGGGGTGGTTTTAAGTGTTTCTCGTTCTTTGGTTTCCCAGCCCGGAGCAGAGTCGGTGTTCCCTGAATTGGATGTGGAGTGTGGGAGTCTCTTGGGGAGGAGAGAAATGTCCCTGCTGGGTGGTGTGTCCTTGGTGGGCAGAGAACTCTGCCCTTGGCATTGTGGTTTTGTGGATATGGACTCAAAGCAGGAATGCCAGAGGTTCAGGGCAGAGGGAGCAGGGGCTGACAGACAGTGGCACTGGATGTTTGGTTGTGGTTGGGAATGAGCAGCTGGATCTCCCCCAAGGCTGTGCTGTGGATTTGGGTCCTGTCTGGCCACAGGTCTGTGCAGCAGCTGGAGACTGGGAGGATTTGGGGGCTGTGCTGTGGATTTGGGTCCTGTCTGGCCACAGGTCTGTGCAGCAGCTGGAGACTGGGAGGGTTTGGGGGCTGTGCTGTCTCAGCCTCCTATTTTATCATCACTGGGGAGTGGCACCTGCATCCCACTGGAAGAAAAAACTGGGGAGAGAGTGGCAGGTGGGAGGACCATTTCTAGATGTGCCCTTGGATTCCCTTTCCTCCTGGTGGGTTCTGTGCTGCCTCAAGCACAAAGAAAGTAAATCTTGGAGTAGCTGTTTGTTCACCTGTTGGGCTTGGACATGAAAT